CATGAACCTTTTTGATGCAGGAGAGGAAAGCCATCTGGTGATGGCTCAGCAACTGGTCAGCTGGGATTACTGTTGTTAGTGATACTGATTGTTTTCCTTTGCCTATGAACTGAGCATGTAACATTGTCTACCCAGAATGAAAGCTCTTTGGGGCAGCTGTGGTTTCATCTTCGGATGCTATCTTCCTCCGTACAGTGAGCAGAACATTAAAGAGGGACTAGCCTGAAGACAATTTTTTAGTCCCTGTTCACCACCAATTAATTGCTAGTGTTTATCTGAAACACAAGAAACAAGTTTGTGGCCATAAGGTATGACCACCAACTCTTGTAGTAAGTAATACAAGAGGCATTACTCCTTTTCCGTACCTGGGCATCCTCACTTTTTTGTGCTTCTTGCTTTGTTTTACTCCTACATGTTGAGAAATTGAAGAACACGCAGGAAATATTTCTTCTTTGGTAGGTAACTGGGCAGTCACACCCAATGCTTGCCTCATCAAGACATTGCTGACACATAGGGTCATTTGAGACCGCTAGAAGTTGGTAAGATCATCTGGCTAACATGTTTCCTGTAGTAGCTGATACCGCTAGTCACAAATACACTATGTGCAAAAATGTTTATTACATACTATTTGTGTTCACTTGCTTTTTGTGCTATTAGTCTCAAGTCTGCAGTGTGCTAGTGCAGAGATGCAACAGAGGAAGCAGGGCACTGTGGTGGGCTGCAAAAAGCTGACTTGAAGTTCTGTGGTTTAACACTTTTTTTTTTTTTTTAATGCTACCACTAACCAAGTTCAGAATTTCGACAAGAGAAAAATTCTTAGGTGTTTTAAATGCATGATAACTGTACTGAGGACTTGTGTTGTGGACTTCCTGTGAGACTGAGTATATTACCTCTGTTTTTTCCTTCAGCGTTTTTCACCTCAAAAATGATAATAATATCACATTAACTCTCTGCAAACTGGAGCACCATAAGAATACATTGACTTATACCCTGAAGCCATTGTCTTGCCTGTCTCTATCCTTTGATTATTATGTGTTGCTCCTTAGCTTCATTTGAAGATGTGACTCCATTACTGAAGAAGTCAATGCATTTTAAGCAAATTTACTATAAATATAACTTTCCCTGCCTTGTTTGTAATTCTCAAAGAAAGCATTTTTGCTTAGGCTAGGTGGGTTTCCTGACATCCATCATCAAAGCATGTACTAAGTTATAAAAAAAAAGCAATCACAATAAGAAAATTTTTTGTGGAAATATTTTTTGTTAAAAAGTGAACAGGTATCTTTTTGAATTAGAGCAGAAAATAATTGCTACAACTGTGTGCAGTACTGAATAGAAAACCTCTTGAGGGACTGAAATGATCTTCTTGGTACAAAAGTGCTCATTTTCCTGGGCAAAAATACCTTGTTGTCCATGGAAGTATTGCATGATTTTTAGGTATCTCTGTGGGACAACCTCTACAATGCCAAGAACGTTCACTTAGGTAGTCCAAGTGCTTTTATTATCCATATATTGAGTCACTTATGTATGGACTGCTTTCTTGCCAGGGGAGGGAAAGAGATAGGAAAGGACTGTATAAGGCGCCACTATTTTTTTTTGTACTACTGTGGTGTTGTCCTGGTTTCAGCTGGGATAGAGTTAATTTTCTTCCTATTAACTGGTACAGAGCTGTGTTTCGGATTTAGGATGAGAATAATGTTGGTAACACACTGATGTTTCAGTTGTTGCTAAGCAGTGTTGACACTATGTCAAGGACTTTTCAGCTTCTCACCCCACCAGCGAGGAGGCTGGGCGGGCACAAGGAGTTGGGAGGGGACACAGCTGGGACAGCTGACCCCAACTGACCCAAGGGATATTCCAGACCATATGGTGTCATGCTTAGTGTATAAACTAGGAGGAAAGCTGGCTGGGGCTGCTGCTTGGGAACTGGCTGGGCGTCGGTCGGCAGGGGGTAAGCAGTTGCATTGTGCATCACTTTTTTTGTATATTCTAATTCTTTTATTATTATTATTATGATGATGATGATGATTACCATTATTATTATCCCTTCCTTTTCTGTCCTATTAAACTGTCTTTATCTCAACCTATGAGTATTACTTTTTTTCCCCCAATTCTCTCCCCCATCCCCCTGGGTAGGTGGAGTGAGCGAGCAGCTGCGTGATGCTTAGTTGCCATCTGGGGTTAAACCACGACAGTCCTTTTTGGTGCCCAACATAAGGCACGAAGCATTGAGATAATGACAGATCTGACTAGAGCGTGTTAAAACACATTTTGTTACAAGCGTTCATGATTATTAGTTTAATAGTCGCTGGTCACAATGTTGGTTTATTTGCTCGCAGATTTGTTGCGCTTGGTCTCAGAGTTGTGTTATCTAACACCTTACTTGCCGTATTGTGTTCCCTGTTGTGCTGTTTATCATCTCTGGGGGCTGGGTTAGGGTTATCATTTTGTTGTACTTTGTAACACTGGCTTATGATATGATATAATTGCTGGTTGTGAGCCTGATCTGGTATTTGTACTCAGCATTGCCGTCACCTCTGTACTTCGGGAGCCATCTATCGGAAACTATCAATAATGACACCTTTTACCTTTTCTCCTCGGAGAGCCAACCTATGGGGAAGATACATACCTTTCTTTGTCTTCCCCTTCTCCTCCAGGCAAATTACAATAGTTCTTGAGAATTTTTAATATCCTCGGGATGTTCAAACTAGCATGTTCCTATTGCTATGTCTCCTGAACGTGTTTCAGGTCTTGTTTGGGGTTAAACAACTATTTAAGAAGGTCACCCAGAGATCTGCCCCAAGGCTGGACAGTTATGAGTGGCAGGCTGTGTGGGATAGTATGGGCGAGTGCCTAGGACAGTTCCAATGTTTTGGAATTTGACCCCTGAACAAGTGCAGAATCCTGAAAAACTAGTAAAATATTTGGAAAAAGTATGCTGTCATCCTGGCAATTCCAGAGAGATACAAATCCCTGCAATGTGCTAGGGCCTGGCCCATGGCTACTGAGTCCTGTTCAACACTACTCAGTGCCCTCAAGGGAAACAGAAGGTCTCTGGATCTGATGACAAAATGGCAGGCACTGCGGCTACTCCAACCCTGGCGACAAATGCTGCAGTTGAACCAGAGAACCAACCCGTGCCGGTATCAGTCACCCCTATACACAAGAAGAAATATTGGAAGTGGAAGTCAGCTTGTTTAGTAAGGGATGAAGGACCTTCTTCTAAGAGGGAGCAGGAGGAAGAAGTGGACGAGGCAGACTACTCTGAAGCAGGGTCATCACAAGAACAGGAGGAGGAAGAGAGGTGGCTGCTGCTTGGGGAGGAGGAAGAAGAACTCATAAACGAGGTGGTAACCCCCCGATCCCTATCCCTGACTGAGCTGCAAGATATGTGAAAAGATTCAGCCATCGTCCAGGCGAGTACATTGTCACCTGGCTGCTCCAATGTTGGGATGACAGGGCCAGTAGCCTGGAATTAGAGGGTAAGGAAGCCAAAGAGCTGGGATCCCTTTTTAGGGAAGGGGCCATTGACAAAGCAATTGGAAAAGGGACACAGGTCCTCAGCTTCTGGAAGCAACTTCTGTCAGGCATGAAGGAAAGGTATCTCTTCAAGGAAGATGTTATATGTCACCCAGGCAAGTGGACCACCATGGAGAAAGGTATCCAGTACCTGAGGGAATTACCCATGCTGGAGGTGATTTATGATGACCTGGACAGCAAGCAATTGTCCAAAGATCCAGATAAAGTCAGATGCACGTGACCCACGTGGCGGAAGTTTGTACAGAGGGCACCATCATCGTATGCCAACTCATTGGTAGTAATGACCTGGAAAGATGGAGAGGGACAAATGGTGGATGAATTGGTTGGTCATTTCCTGCAATACGAAGAAAATCTCTCTTCCTCCCTCATCTTGGCTGTGAAGAAACTGGTCCAGCAACTCAAAGAGGATAGATCCTACTCCCCACCTACACAGACCAGTATCTCAGCTATTAGGAGTAAGCATTCCTCTGCTCAAGAGAGAGGATATAGTGGGTATACACCACGGGCCACCCCGTGGTTTTACCTGTGTGACCATGGAGAGGACATGAGGAAGCAGGGTGGAAAAGCTACCTCGACCCTAGAGGCACGGGTATGTGAGTTGCAAGGAAAAACAATCACAAAAGGGGGTTCTTCCAGGAAAATTGCTGCTCCAGTCTCCAGTGGGCAGTTCCCCAGACAGAGTAGAAGGGCTGATCTTACTCCTGATCTTGATAAAGGGACTTCTGATTTCTATTTAAAGAAGTGAGTAGTGAATACTCTGACCAGGATTAGAGGGTCCCTGCCTCCAGCCAGGTAGAGGAAAGGGACAACTGAGTTTACTGGACTGTGTGGATTCAATGGCCTGGCACATCAGACCCACAGGAGTACAAGGCTCTAGTGTACACCACTGCACAGAGTAGCTTAGTGCCATCAAGTTACAAAGAGGCAGAACCCATGTGTATTTCTGGAGTGACAGGAGGATCCCAACAGCTAACTGTAGTGGAGGCTGAAGTGAGCCTGACTGGGAATGAGTGGCAGAAACACCTGATTGTGACTGGCCCAGAGGCCCTGTGCATCCTTGTTGTTGTTATTATTAATTTTCCCTTCCTTTTCTGTGCTTTTAAACTGTCTTTATCTCAAGTCATGAATTTTACTTTTTTTTCCCCAATTCTCTCCACCATCCTCCTGGGTGGGGGGGAAGTGAGCGAGTGGCTGCGTGTGGCTTAGTTGCCGGCTGGGGTTAAACCACGACAGCTGTGTTCACTCACCTTTGGTCATCCCAGTCACAACTGTCATAAGAGCTATTTCAGCTTAACAAAGGCATTTTAGAAATGAGGAAATGGTTGTGAGGTCTGAATATTGAGCATGAGCTGTCATGGAATAATGTCTCCATATAATCTTTGATTTTCAACTTAGTTTGTCATAAAAAAGTTCATGCTGGTTTATACAAAATACTAATCATATTTATTACAATTGTATTTTAGCAAGTTGGAATCACAAATGGTTTATTATCTGCATAGCTGGAGGAATTTCTGCTGCTGTCCTACTGTTAGTTTTCCTACTGATTTTCTGCATCACCACTGCTTATCGCAAAAAGTGAGTGACAAACCAATTTGCTTAATATACTGAAGCAGGTAAGTATGAACGTGTTAACACCTCATCCTACTATCCTCTTCAGAACCAATTAAAAAAAAAAGGTAGCTGTGAAAATTGAATTTTCTTGCCAAAATTTTAAACTTGAAAAAACTAATCAGTTTTACAGCCTATGAAAAAAGTGACATATTCTCCCCCCCCCCTTTTTTTTCACATTATAAACCCAAATGGCTTTCTCAAGTTCCTTAGCCAGCTAAATGCTTACAGTGGTATTAGCTGAAACTTCATGCCAAGGGTGATTTGTCACGAATAATAAACCTCGGCATAGGCTGTTCCTATTTTGTTCATAGAGAAGGACAGGTGACATCTTGAGGTTTTCTACAGCTTCTAGCATTTTTTGTCTTCTGATTTTATGTTCCAAATTTGCTTACAGCGGGATCCAAACTAATAGCTTAAACCATTATCTATGTTTGCTCTATTCCTTGCCAAAGATATGCTAGTTGTCTGATCCAGAATCTCTGCTTCGAATGAAAAGAGAGATGAGCAGAAAAAAATTTTCTTCCCCTACCACAATATATGAGGCAATAATTATTGTATCTGCACGTGAATCAAAGGGCCTTTTTATCTGTGTCCAGGTCTCATGCATGTTACAGTGTGCAAGTCAGAGGAAAGACTACTTGGATTTTTATTGTATACATTAGTTTCAGTGGGAAAGTAAGCAATGCCAGCATTATCTCTTTTATGCTGGGATTTGATATTTTGGACTATGCTATCATGTATGATACTGTTCCCTCCACTGTGTTTCTGACTGAATGTGTGTCATCAGAAAGAAGAGGAAGAGGATCACAGAGGCCTTATCAAAAGCTTTGTACTCTACTCAGACCCTGGTAAGAATAGCTGGAGAGATGGAGTTTACTCATATTTTGAATTTTATATTTCTTAACAGCTTTCTCTTCTGTATCTGCTCATTATATCCCTTGAATCTTATAGTCTAATCTTAAACTATACAGACAGGAAACATTGAATATTTTAAAGTATGATTATCACTGCTCACTGCTTTTTTGATGAATATTCTTTAATGTTTTACAGCTACATTTAGAGACTCAACTGTGTTCCATGTTATTAACAAATCAGATCTTGATTTGCTAGCTTTTGTAATATTTGTGTATTGTTAATATCTTTTTTCCTCAAGTCACTACTTGTAAAACTGAGGCAAAAAATTGTATCCTCAGATACCCTTTGTCTTTATCTATTTCTTCTAGTTCAGCTTCACTATAATTTGTTGGGACAGGTGTCTCAATGCTTCTCCTTTCTTTTTGTATTGTAACAATCAATGTTTTGGAGCTCTGAGTCTTCCCCATCTCCCCCCTCCTTAATCCTATTCAAGGCCTGAAGTTTAGAAGTGGAAAGATAGGAGCCAACTTCACTGCTTGTGCCTTGTCTCTTCATACCCTAAGTCGGGGTATGAAGTTATGCTGTGCTTAGGGAAATGACCCCATTCTCACAGTGGATGTGAGACTCTGGCCTTTCCACATATCTCCTCTCAGGTGGCACTGCTGTGTGATCCAACGGTGAGCTCCGCTGTTGATATGGGTTTGTAAAGCCCTCTGATCTCCTGCCATTTCCATTTCTCTCATTCTGACTGTTGGGTCTCTGTTCATACCAGAATTAAACTCTTCCTAGGGTGACCATTTGCTTCAGAAACCCCCTTTCCTCCCATGCCAGTTAACCAAAGCACCATCACATTAAGTTGTCTTAATGACATGACTAATTCTTAGCATGGTCAATAACTTTAGAGTAATTCGTGTTTTAAGATTGATGTAGGAGACACTACTTCAGTATCTGAAGTGTGTATGGGAGGGGAAGGGGGCATTCCACTGGTGCTTTACCAGGCATCTGATGTGGGACAGCTGGGAAACATATTCAAAATGCAAATTCTTTTTTCATATGACTTGAACCTGAAATGCATTTGTAGAAAACAAGAAGACAAAAAAAATTTGATTGATGGTTGAATATTTCCCAATAATAAATCAGCATATGAGGAAAATTTGCCGGTTTTCTCCTTTTTCAAAGTTGTAGCTGCTTTGAGAAAAGTCCTTCAACTTTTTTTTTTTTTTAATGTTTTTCTAGCCTGCTAATGGTTATGAAGGATCCAATTTTCATGGCACATGGAACACAGAAAGAAGAGGAGAAGAATCATCACTTGGGCAGACAGAGCCCATTTATGTCAACTGCAGAAGTCTCACACAAACCTAAGAAAAGACTGTAAGATTCCTTCTTAAGAATGAAGTAACCAAAGGGCAGGCATTATATTTGCAGCTTAGACTTTATTTTCTTTGCACTGGTGAGACCTGGAAGGTCAAACTGGCTGCTTTGGCTGGACAGCCAGCCTGGGCCAGGTTACAGCAGGTGTGTCTGTGTTGTGTTGCAGCCTGCAGCATTAATGTATCCTCTGATTCATACGTAGAATGAAAGATTATCTGTACTTCTGCAATTTAAACATTTTTACCCAGTAGGTGTACTCTTAAGGAAGAATTTTAGAACAGGTCTGATATGCAGAATGGAGCTGCTTATGTTTACACAAAGTTAATTTGGTTTGAGAAAACTATGTGTCTGAGAAGTCTGTGTGACAGGGTGAGAAAGAAAATGTGCTCGATGTTGTCTACATCCAATGATTTTTGCATCTCAAATTGAGAACTCTATAGAATAATAAATATCCATGATTTTCCACATAGGAAGTGTTATTTTGCTGCTGGGCAAATTCAGCTGACAAAAGCAAATATATCGGGGATCCTTGAACCTAGATTTAAAAGTATGAAGAGAAGCTTGCTATCTGACAGCTGTGTGGTTTTGCAGGCTTCTTGCCGCTCACCACTATTTCAGTGCTTTCTATTTGGGGATGGAATAGAAGTGTAGCCCCTGCTCTCCTCCCTCCCTCCCTCCCTCCCTCTTTCCCCCCCACCTCTTCCCCTATGCCCAGGAGAAAACAAAACATGAAGACTCTGTCACTGTCAGGTTATATTTAATAATAATTTATTATAAGGTTTAGTTGCGCAAAAAATAAATGAGAACATGGAAGATACATGAATAAATGATGCAAAGCAGAAAAAAGCGTGATTGAGAACATTTTCAAAACAATACACATACATATGTAGTTGTATGTGTGCATATGTATATATTCTGCTGAAACCTACAGAAGAAACCACACAGAAATTGAACAAACAGACAAAAAAAAAAAAAATCCTTAAACAAACAGAACTAGAAGGCAGACCTGAGAATTAGGATTTATGCATCTTTTGGCCTTTTACAAATGTCCTGTATTACCAAGGACAAAATCCCAGTAGATGAAGGTGTTACCATGACAGCTGATAATCATATATGTCTGCATACTACAAACTGTGTGCCTGGCCCACCTATGCTTGACTCCCCTTTTCTCTTGAAGCATTAGAAGTGTTGCTGAATATGGGGTTTCATTGTTTGGAAAGGGGTTGGGGGGGAGTCTGCCCACAGAGCAGTTACCAGTTCCACATGGCTGGCTAGGAAGGAGCATCAACAGCCTGACAGTAAAAAGCACATTTTGCATAGCTTTCTCCAATGGAAAGCTTTCTTCACGTGCACAGGAAAATAGGAGTCTAGTTTCTTCCGAGAATAATGTGGTCACAAGATTTCTCTGAACTATTTGAGCACTAATAGCGTCGTGTGGTTATCCTACACTTCAGCTAAAAATCTAAAATCCTAAATCAAAGTGTCCTTCAACTTATCACTGAAGACTTACATTGTTTACAATGTCATATACCATTAGAAAACATCTCATTTTGGTTTTGTGTACTCCTGAACAAGGACACATACACACTGCAAGGGATATATTTTTTTTTCTTTCACTTACTGAAGGTTTTCAGTTATATGGATGCTTGTGTGTGAAGTTGATGAGGATACAACTGTACTATTAATAAGTTGGTTTATTTCCTGAGTTATCAAATGTCATAGCAGATAATTCTAAGTTGTGCACAGCATTACAAATAAAACCCTGTAGCATTGGGTCGTTTCTGTGATGATCCCATTTATATTAAAATGCCAAAATGATAATGTAATGAATTTGATGACACTAAAGTTCTCAGTTGGAACCTTGATACAGAAATAAGCTTAGAAGTTGGTATTGTTTCACTGCTTATAGACACAGCTAAAATACATCTCTACTTTACTGAGGGTAAAAAGGGGGAGAGAGGTTAAGTACCTGGAATACCAGATAATTTTGATTGTTTCTGGTAATGCCCTTATTTCTTGCCTCCCTTGGTACTTTTAGCTTGTCTTTTCAAAAGAATTGCTTATTTTTGACATCTGGGGAAGAAAAAAAAATAATCTGTAGTGCACATCTTTGCAGGTATGTAATCTGTTTTAATTCAAATTCCATAGACATATTACTTCTACCAGGATAGTCCACAGGGAAAATCACATCACACATAACATAATAAGAACAATATATTATATTTTTCAAAAAGCAAACCCCAAACAACAGCTTCATTTTTGTACCATGGTAATATCAGTGAACAGCAGCTGAACGTAAGACTTATACAAATGAAAACCAAAAAGAAAACAACCCCAAACTTATCAATATTCTCATTGGCTTAAAAACTAGTAAGCTACACACAAGAGAAACTTCCAAAAGTGTAGTTTGAAATGTAATATTAAAACTCTTCAAATATTTTATAAGTCTGGCAGGATGGGACTCAGTAAGAGCCTGTTTGCTGTGACAGCACTTGGATTATGTAAATAGACTTTCCAGTGTAAAATAGTACAAACTATTGCTTATTGCTGTTTATTTTCAATATTTTCCATAGGTTTGCCTTTTTCTTTCGGAAACTTTTAGTTCCTTTTGAGAAAACTTCAACTGTAATTTGGAAATTTTATGTTGAACAATTACTGTGCTATTTCATTCTGTACCACTTGTGCAAATAGTTAAGAGGGAGGAAAAAAAAATCAAGGAAGTAACATGACACAAATATGGATAGCAACCAGCTCAGCATACTATCTAAACTGTAAGATATTTGTGTCTTTTTTTTGTTGCTTTAAGACCTTAGAAACTTTGCTGAAAGGAAATAAGCACAATAAAGCACATTATCATCAAAAACCCAAGTCTTGAATCACTGGGTAACTACCTTCTGTGTAACTGGGAAACGAATCTATGAAATTTTAAGAAAAGTAAAACCAGATTTCTTTTCCATAATAATAAAATTCATCTTTTATGCTGGGTGAAAAAGGTAGATGTTTAAGTCCCATGCTCAAAGGAAAATTCCACGATTAATAATACTACTAAGTCTTTAAAGGGTGTAAACTCACATCTCTCTTAAAAAAGAAATCAGAAAAAAAGTTATTTGTGATCAGTCTTTGCTGGGACTTCTGAACGTAGGAGGTGCAGTCACTAGAAGTTGGATCAACAGGGCAAGTACAAAACTCACAGTCATTGAAAGAAGGTGAAAGTTAGAACAGTAACATATGTCATCTCCCGTTATTTTCTTTTTTTCATCTCAAATATGTTCCTTTACCTTAAAGAGCTTCTTTGACTTTATAATACGTTCATGATACTGCTCATTCTGCTTGTATTCTGCTCTCCCTTGGCTGTGTACCTTGGGGTAAAACAATGTTTCTGTAGGGAAACAGCCTGCTTTAAGGGCTGGACCCACCAAGGAACACAAGAAGCTGGACTCCTCCATACCCCCACATTAGGCAGGGTAGTCCAGCACTTAACCCTCTTTCTGACCTCCACCTGCCCCAAATTCCCAGGCACCTTTTCTGTTAGGCACCTTCATTTTTCAAGAATACTCAGAAATAGCTTGTTCTAACTGTGCTGTGCAACTTAACCACCTACCTCCTATCCAGGTCTTATCCCAGGACTAGGGTACAGGAGGAGATGGCCAAGGCAGCAAAGCAGGCAGAATAGTCAAAGTATAGGTGCTACCAGCATTTGTTAGTTTGATGACAGGTGGATGCTAGCTTACTCCGGAGAGATTCAGATAAGAAACTTTACTTCAGAAAAAGAAAAGATTTCAGAGGACTGATCTCACTATCATACTAATTTCTAGGTTCCCGCCCCCCAGGGGTGGTGGTGATTTTTTTGTAATCATAAAGACATCTGGGAACCAGGGCTCTGATTTTTAAAAATTTTTAAACCTTACCTGCATCATGCTCCTCTAAACCTTCTATGTTATTGAGTTATATGAAAGTTCAAAGCAATGGTATTTATTTATGGTAGCTGAAACTCTGCCTCAGTGAGTACTCCCCAGCACAAGTGAAAGACTTCCTTTAAAGCTGAGATGCCCAACAGGAGTTAATTCCCTAAACAGCTTTGTAAGGCTGACACTAACGGGTAGTTCCAAAACCAGCCCTGTCTCTCCAGAAGATAGGTGCTAAAATGCTCTTTTAGGCTGTGGACCCCGGGGACAAGTTCTCAGACTGTATTATTTAAGGTGTAAGTAAGGTAACTCAGAAGACGTTTCCAACACTCACATTCCTGGGGACCTGTTTTGAGCTAGAGCACAAGACGTGCCTCCGCTGCCATGCCTCGCTGGGATGTGGTGTCAGGGGGTGCGTGGGCTCCGGGCGGCTGCTGTCCCTTTGACATCCAGCGTGAAAGATTCCACCCTGAGGCTCGAGACCCACACCGGTCTTCAAAACGCTAAGCTGGACGAGGCTTTTCACCGTCACGTGAAATGCTGGCTGTTTCTGCTACAACAGTCAGTTCATGCAGCACCCCACCCGCCAAATCAGCCAGGAAATGGAAGACCCTGGCCCAGTTCTCCCCCAGCCCGCATCAGACACGCACTCCCTCTCCCCTGCCCTTTCCAGCCTCCCCCCTGAAGCTGGGAAGCTGGGCTCCTCTACAGAAACAACTCCTGTTTTAAGGACTAAGAAGAGCCTGCAGGACTCTCTAGGGCGCTACTCCAGCAAGAATGTCCTTGTTTCTGCTTTTGCCCATACTCTTTGTTTTTTCTGTTATTTTCTAGGAGTAAAATGCATTAAGAGTTATGAGAAGAGGATGAGCACCCGGACAACCACGGGACAAACACGTCATGAGTTGTCCAACACTTCCTTTAAAATAAAAGAGCCCCAGGATCATCGAGATAGATAGCCTCACCTGTGGGAGCTCAGAGCCTACCGGAGCAGGCTGTCACCATGCCACGGGACTCTGCCACTGCTCTGACTAGTTTCTTGACCCTTGATTTATAAAGCTGTAGACTTACCTTACTATCCGTATTATA